AATAAAAGATTTTCTCCTGCTTTTCAGTGTTCTTCAACCTTAGCCACTTTAAGATGTGTGGACTTCAACTCCCAGAATTCCCCAGCCAGCCATGCTTTTCAAGGAAGCTAATACATTCATTTTAAAAATACACATAAATACAAATGTCAAAACCAGCTGAGTGACAATCCTAACAATCACAAGGTAATCTGAAACTACAGAGGACCATTTAAAGTCAACATCTTTGTCAATAAAAACAACAGAATCATTGACATATAAAGAGACACACACATGCACACACATATACATTGGCCATTATAATTATATTTTTCTTCTTTCTCAGTGAACATTCAGCATTTTTCAGTGTAAGCTGAATGACATAGCTTGAGAATCCATGTGATTCAGTGGTCAAGAAGTGGGACCTGGACAATGGAAACTCACTTTCAAGCCCCTCCTTGGCCATAGTGCTCACTGGGAGATTTTAATCCAGGCTTTTTTTCTCAGCCTAATTGATCTCCCAGTTGTGGTTGTGTAATGATAAGATGAGAGGGGACCTTCATTTATGGCATCCTGAACTCTCAGAAAAATATAAATGAATATAAATGAAATTCTAAATAAAGAGGGGCACACCCAGCTCCTATTGTTATCTGTGAAGAAACACCATTAAGCTGTTCAGCCCTTTCGTCTTTAATGGATTTTGTATGTGAAAGTGCTCAGAAAATGATGGGAGAAAAGAAAACACGAGAAGCTGATTACAAGTGAAAATGATGAGATCTAGATTCTCCTCTTCTATTAAATTATGCATGATAAAATAGAATAATAACAGACTAATCTGAAAGCACTTGAGATCTCAGTCTGACACTTTATTCAAGTGACAGCGATTTGCCAACAAAGGCAGATATACTTCAGCTCATGTGCAGAATTTCTTACTCTCACAACTGAACAACTTTACTTCCTATATGCCTCCACAAGGACAGGAAGTAAGAGTATGCAGCTCTATAGATTGTGCAAACTTGTTTTACAGACCACATTCATAGGACAATCTTTCAGTTCAACAGCCTTTTGAACACATTTGTAAAAATTGTAGAAAAATTATAGGAAATTGTGGGCCACTTCTGTTAATATATGTCTTTGCCCATGTCTTTCCCATAATTTAAAACTGCTAGAGGTGTTTTAATACAACTTTCCCTGATGTTATCCTTTAGTTACGTTAATTTTTCAAATATTTTCTAATTGTATATTCCCCCAGTTTCTTTAAATGTAACTGCTGCACTTTGTGACTTTCAGAAGTGCACACTTTTGTCTGGTGTAATTTTTTGAATGGAATGATGAGATCTAGATTCTCCTCTTCTATTAAATTATGCATGATAAAATAGAATAATAACAGACTAATCTGAAAGCACTTGAGATCTCAGTCTGACACTTTATTCAAGTGACAGCGATTTGCCAACAAAGGCAGATATACTTCAGCTCATGTGCAGAATTTCTTACTCTCACAACTGAACAACTTTACTTCCTATATGCCTCCTATATTCCTATGGAGAAAGATGGATGCTAGTGTAATTCAATGCTACCACCTATGCTGGTGTAAAGTCCATAGGGAAAGGATCATGAAAATCCCAAAAAAATCTGTGGAGGATTTCCTGCTGCTTCCATTCTTCACAATGTGGTATCACCAACATTCCAGAACTTTCAGTCACCTGAGAACTTTTGTTCAGATTCTTCCTGTCCCTCACATCTGCTGGGAAATTTGGAAGATCTGAGAACAGACTCGATTGCCTGATCAACAGTAACTGCCGTTTTTGATGTACCCTGGATCTCCTGACTGAGTGGGGTTATCTGAAAAGAAAGGATCTTGTTGAAGGAAAGGTGGAGCATAGAAGGATTTTGCTCCACCTCCTCTCACCCAACACCTACCTCTGTTGTGAAAGGACCTTCAGTGATCTTCAGTGACCTTGGAGAAATGTCCCTGCAGGAGAAGGCAGAGGGGAGGGGAAGTGAATCCAATTGCAGGGGAGATAATTCTGCCCCAGTGGTCACTGCACCTCAGGGCTACCAAGCAAACTCCAATAGAAACAATTGCTCCACGTCAGATTCTTGTTACCCAGAGTGTGCTGTCTCCACTTCAGAGTCATGGTGGGTTCTGTAGTCCTTCATCTCCCTTCCACTTCCTGGTTCTTCTGCTCCTGGATGAGGTTCATCACCAAAGAGGTAAGTAGTGAATGAGGAAACAAAATCCTGAAAATGGGACGAAGAGAAAGAAACACTGAATACAGTATGGACTTCTAGTTTAGGAAGCCGGCAAGCCCCTTCAACATAAGCCAGAGGTTCTGGATCCCACCCAAGCTTGAGAAATGACAGGGGTACCACTAACCAAAGCCCGTTGCAGATTCCCCAAGACTGATCGAAGGTGCTCCATTGGGCTGCTCAGTTAGCTGAACATAAGCTACACAATGGCTTCCTCCTTCTCCTCAGAGAGGGAAGTAATGTTGCTAAAGTATTTGACCACATCCTTCTCTTCCTCCGCCTTATACATTGCCATAGTCCGTTCTGGCTTTGCACTACTGTGAAAGAAAGTAAAGCACACCACATCCTACAGAAACAAAAAGTACATGGCTAATCATTCACTATCAAGCACTGGCAAAATCAGCCCCATACTAGAGGAGTGCAAACATCACCATCATCATCATCATCTCCATAAAGTTGTATTTATAATATTCAGATCATTTAAATCTCTTTCAAGATCTCCCACAAATGGAGTGTTGAACCAATTTTATTGTTTTCTTCCCTTTCTTTTTCCCTGTGAAATTTAGTGACCACCCTCACTTATACTGGCTAGGATAAACCTGGTGATAACCTTTGGCTGAAATAGAATACACCATGTTCTATTTTAATCCAGAGAAAGGACTAGTAGCAAACTATCAGTGGTTAGAGTTAAACCTGATAATTGATTAATTAATTAATTAATTGTTAGTTTATTTAACATATATAAAATAGTGATAGCCCATACTAAAGACATACAATTGTCTTTACTTTTGACCTTGAAACAAAGAGAACATGTATAGTAAGAGCGTTCATATTTACCTTCTTTCTTTTCAGCTGACCAATAGGAGAATGCAAAGAACATCTCCAGTTGGTGTTCTGAACAATCACTGGCCTTGGAATAACATACATTTCCTCATTCCCACTCACACAAAAAGAAAATTAAATACATGGCTGAACAGTCTCCCATGGACACATTTTTCATCCGTATGCATTTGGCAGTTGAGAAGTCATGCCACGCTTAGAAAAAGAATGGGGCCCTTGCATTATGACATCACAATGCTGCTTTCACCACTCTAACATCCCTTGCTCTGCCCCCACAGACACTGTTACCCCTGTAACTTGTGAAAGTAAAATGACTGTGTTAGCAATGGTGTAACTTATTGCTTTTCCCAGTTGCTTTTTCTGACCATCATTGCATCTCACTATAGCCACAAGTTTTATTTATTTGTTAAATTTCTAAAGCCACCCAATCCCATAATGATCCTGGTGGCATATACTGTTCAATACAAGACATCATAACCACCACCACCATCAACAGACATCTGACAGAGCAATAGAAACATAACCCCCATTTCCCCATACTCCCTAAAAGGGGCAAGACCTAGAAGAGTCAGGTCTTCAAAGCTTGCTTAAACAAAGTCAAAGTAGGGGCCAAACAAATTTTTGGGGAGATGCTGTTCCAGAGGGCAGACACCATGACAGAGAAGACCTGCTTCCTGGTAGCACTGTTTAATCATTGGAACCCAAAGTATGCCAACTCTTGTATAGGATGGGCAGACGTCAGAGGAGACAGATGGTATCTCAAATAACCAGGCTATATGTCATGAAGGGTTTTATAGGTGATAACCAGCATTCTGAATTGCACCTGGAAGCCTAATGGCAACCAGCACAGCTCAGGAAGCAGAGATGCCACCTGGGCATCATGTAAAATGCCCATAGCTGCTTGTGCTACTGCATTCTAAACCAGGTGCAACTTCTAAGTGATCTCCAAGGCCATGTGGACCATGTTGTAATAGTCCACACAAGAGGTGACTAAAGCATGAATGACTGTGAGCATGGCCTTCCAGTTCAAGAATAGGTGTACAAGATGAATCTGTGCAAAGGCTTTTCTGGCCATAGCTGTCAGCTGCTATCTGAACAGGAATGGCCAGACAAGAACGATCCCCAAATTGTACACCAGACCAGTCCCAAATCAAACATGCAACTTCTTTATTCAGGGCTAAAGCTGGAAAGTTCCCAGATCCAGATGATCCAAATATCCACAGGCACTCAGCCTTGCAACAGTTGAGCTGTTCCTTCACATCCAGACCCCAACAGCCTCCAGGCACTGGGGCAGGACCTTGATAGATTGGGGGTGGGTGGGGGTGTGTGTGGATAAATAAAGGATGCTGAATTTCTGAGGTGGGGGAGGGAGTGAAGCATGAGTTCCTGCCAACATACTGGATTTGCAGAACTGCAGGAATTCATAATAAAATCTCAACATTGTTCTGGTTTCTTGTAAACAAAAGTCAGAAACGGACTGACTCAGTTCCTCAAGACAATGACATTGTAATATCAGATTCAGAGCTGATCCCAAAGTGGTGCTATACTATGCTGCGGGGTGGAAATGTACACAATATTATTGAGAAAAGAGAAATGGCTTAAGAGTTGAATAAGTCATGGGAAAAACTGCTGAACTTTTGTGAAATGCACTATCCAGCTCAACTTCTTGAGTTCATTGACAATGCAGTGGATTTTTTCTGACACAAGTGCATTATTTAATTGATCTCCAGCAAAGCACCGAGAGTGGCTGGTACTCTATGTAATACTTTTGCTATAAGGCTGATCTCAGCTCAAAAACCATCAAGTAACACCAGCTATATTGTGAAAACAATAGGATACTATATCTTTCAATTTATATAGCATCTTGCTCACCATGTGACTCTGGGCAGCTAAGAGTCACATGGGTTAAAAACATCAAAAATGTGACAAAAGTCTATAAAAACACATGGCAGAAGCACACCTACATTAACACTATGGGAATATGAACACTCTTAATTAATTTCATGATACCCTAGGAACATGACCTACTGGCCAACTGGAAATGGTTAGAGTACAGTTTCCACTTCAGTACTGTGAAGCTGGTAATCCCCTTTTACAAAAGATGTTGTTCATGCTATCACTGTTTATCAATTATCCCATTGTTGGTGGATATTATAGTTGATCCATTGTTTAATAAAACTGAGATGGCTCTCAGTTTCACCACCTGGATTAACCTTAAACTGATGTGTGACCTTGCTTACAACAACATCAAGAAGACTTTTTCCTGAATAGGTTACTTCAACCTGGACTCTATACAGAAGCTTATGAATTGCATTTTTATCCTGTGCTTCCCCTAAAAACATATGATTGATTATGTGCCATCAAGTCATTTTTGACTCCTAGCAACTACATAGATAGATGTTCTCCATGACAATCTGTCCCTTATCTGATCCTTCAGGTCTTCCAACCGTGCACCCATTGACTGGATCCATCTACTTTGCTGCTGGTTGTCCTCTTCTCTTTCCTTCCACCTTTCCCAGCATTAGAGCCTTTTCCAGAGAACTGGGTCTTTGCATAATGTGTCCAAAGTAAGATAATTTGAGCCTGGTCATTTGTGCCTCAAGTGAGGATTCTGGGTTGATTTATTCAATGATCCATTTGTTTGTTTCCTTGACTGTCCACAGTTTTCTCAGGAATCTTCTCCAACACCAAAGTTCAGAGGTGTCAATACTCTTCCTATTCTGCTTCTTCAGAGACCAACTTTTACTTTCAGAGTATCACAGGGAATACCGTGCTCGCACACTTCTGATCTCAGTATCCCACATCGCCCAGTAAGTTTCATGTTTGAGTGGAACTTAACTCGGACCTTCCATAAGTCCAACAGAGGGGGAAGTTACTGTTTCATTGTGTGTTTGAGGCTTTGCAGCAGATCCCACAATGATGTTTTGTGTTGCAAATTAAATTTGCATACTTTTACCCCCCCTCCCCCGCGTTCGCCACTTCGAACGCCCAGCGACAGAACAACGAATTAAAATAGCTACACTAAAAAACTACCTTGAGAGGCTCGCATCCTTTCACCATTACACATCTTTTAAGGTAAAGAAGCATGCATGCAGCGTGTAAGGCTTGTGCAACTTGCTACGGGTTTAAAAGAATCAACACCTGCAGGGACCGCTGGATGACCACCCTTTTAACCCTGCCCCATCGCAGCGCGCAACCGGCTTTTCCCGGCCATCTCGCGCGCGCTCCCGGCTTCGCCCAGCTGAGGACGTTGCGTTGCGAGGAGGAAGTGTCATCAAACCAGGAAGTTGGATCAGCGGGAGACTTACAGTCCTACGACTTCGGTTTCAGTTTGTCGGGTCTCCTGCCCCCAGATGTGCCGACAAGCCTAATTCAAACGACTTCTTAAAGGTAGCGGCGGAGCTTTAGCCAGAGTGATGAATGGGGGGCGAGCAAGCGAGGAGGGACCGCGCCAGAGGGAGCATCGCAGTGCGGCTATGACGCTCCCAATATTTGTTGTGCATTCATGCTCCTCCTCCCTCCCCTTTTTTGGTTGTAGGTCATCCCTCCGGTGCCCGGTCTCTGCCACCTGCCATGGGGCACGCTGGGAGTAGATGGCAGGCCTCGGGTGATTCTGAGGGTGAGTCTGTTCCCATCTCCAGCTCTCCCTTCTCCTCCAGCTGTCTCCTCTGTCTTGACAGCTGCCCCTCTTCTCTCCCCACAAACAGAGGAAGATGAAGACGTGGCTCCCTCTGGGGAGTCCGAAGCCACCCTGGATGCCTGTAGCCAGTGGAGAAACAAAGTGGGCTTCTGGTGAGGTCCTTTACGCTCCTTCTTTGGTTCAAGGCTATGGTGAATGTTCAAAGTCATATCTTCAGTTGTTAGTACATGTAGTTCCTCTTGCATCTCCGTTGCTGCGTGATAACTCACCTTTTCTTCTATGTTTTAGCACATCAGCTTTCACACATTCTGCTCTGTGCCCATTTTTTAGTTTTGGGCTTTGTTCTCTGAGTTTCTTCCTTTGCTACAAACTTGATATTTTTACATATCCTCTTCCATCAGACTGGATCTCCCTCCTACTCATTTGCAGCCCAATTTGTACAACTTGTGGCAAGCATTATGTTGCATGCATCAGTGCTTTGGGGAATTTTGAGTGTGGTGATGATGTCTTGCATAGCCCGAAGGAACTATGAGTGTTACAACAAACTTGTAGCTGAACTGGTCTGGACTTAATCAGTGTCCGAATGGGAGACTGCTTGGGAATGGGGAACCCTGCTTCCATGCATTTGAGCTCTGTCGTGAAAGAAAGATGAGATATAATTACAATAAAAAATGAACAAAATGGTAACAACACTGATATGGTTCACACCGTGGTAAAGCATGGTTCACTTAGCGCTTCAGAAAGCCTCCGTTGGCTGGATTTATTGCATTAAGCTGTAAACCAAGTTTATAAACCACAGTAGTTGGATTCATACAATCCACTAAGCCAAAACTACATATCCATATGA